TGCTGTAAAACTCTACCAGCAAAGAAAGTAACCTTAACAGAATAACCTCTAGGGATTTGGGAAACTTTTTGTGAAAAATGAGCACTGTTTGAAGGAGACAAATAGACTAGCATTAGTAATAAATAACATTAAAAAATGACCTTAAAAGAATGCTAAGTGCTTGAAAGTCAGGAAATGCCAGGACTAGTTTGTGAGAGCCATTGTAGTGCAGCCCGTTTCTAAAATAGTACGGTATCTTGTGCATCGTTTACAACCTTCACTACAAATGAATAATATCTTTTTGCTTGCTATTAATACTTAGTTTTCAGAGATGACTGAAGATATGGAAGGTTACGCAGCACAGGAAATATGATGGGGGCTTCTACTCCTCTAGCTGCAAGCTGTCTTTTGCATAGCTATATGAAAATAAATTGCCATATTGTATGTATCACAGTTGTACTATTGAAGCCAATGTCCTCATCAAAAGCATGCTGAGATGTCTTGGGTACTGAGGGATTGTGGCTGCCTCCAGCCCCTGCATGCTGCATCCCTCCCTCATACCTAGGGTTTCATCCAGCTGTTGCATGTAAGGGTTTCAGGTGGCCCCACCACGTTACAGGTTCCAAATACAGTAACAGACACCAGATCAGCAGCTTTAGGGATAAACAATTTATCTCTAAATAATACTGCGGTCACAAATACGGATCAGGAGTATGATTATCTGGGTTGTTACACCAAGAAAAGCAGTAACTCGGTAGCACAGTTATCCAGGTCGAAATGACAGCAAATCCAGTAATTCACCAATACTGAGCTAAACTTAACATCTGAGCATGCAGAGACCTCCAAAACCATGGTCATAACCATGACTGTCAGGCATGGCTTCCTCAGACAAGCGACTCAGACCAGCCAGCAGGCTCGGGGAATTCCAAGTGCCTTGACTGGGGTGTCCTCTTGTTGAGACATGGACTATATGGACTTGTTAATCAACCATCACATCCCACTTCTGGCCTCCCTCTGCCAGTTCTTTGGGGCTTACGGGGCCCAGAAATACTGTAGAAGGTAGTACTGGCCCAGGTGCCCCCTGATTGGTCGTTACTCAGTTGAGGAAACAATGGTTACCATGGACCTGTTTAGTTTGGTTCCAAAGACAGTCTCCCATGCAGTCTTTGGTGACCAGCCATGGACCTGTTTGGTTTGGTTCCGAAAACAGTCTCCCATGCAGTCTTTGGTGACCAGCCATGGACCTGTTTAGTTTGGTTCCGAAGACAGTCTCCCATGCAGTCTTTGGTGACCAGCCTTCCACCAGCTTGAAGGATCTTTGGTGTCTTCTTTGGTGTCTTTTGAACGTCGTCAGAACAATGTGTATGTTCTTCAGAAGGGCAGAGTGAAGGATGTCTTCGTCCTGCTAGAAGCAATGGCCTCTCGCTGGTGGAAGAGTATCTTCTGAGGGCTGGGCTATTTGAGTCACACCTCTGGCAAGCAGCTAGCCGGTTGAAGTTTTTATCTGTCTACCTTTCTGTATGCAAGGCAACTGATGCTTGAATTAACCCGTGCTGATCATGTAAACAAAATCGGGATGCAAAAGGTGTGCGTAGAAATTCATAAAGTGTTTGGGTTCTCTTCCTTATCCTCCGCATCCCTTTGTACGTTTTTCTGGGACTGGATTAGGAGTACATCAGGATCATTTCTTGTTTCCAGACGTTCGTGCTGTTGGACAAAAAGACTGTATCACTTAAGCGCTTTTAGAGGTCTTGGCTGTTGTCTAAATGCCCTGCAGATATGGTGATAGGTAGCATAATCTACCACTTTTTTTCCAACATAAGCACTTCTCTAGCAAAATGTAGTTGTCCAGGCAGGTGTTTAAAAGCAAGGTTAGCGGAGCAGCAAACCCTGAGGGTTCAAGTTCTTCCAGAACCTTTGAAGAGGGACGAGATCTTTATACATTCGTTACTTTTAAAGAGAATTAGCGTGCAGAATTTTATTATTATGAAATAGTGAGAACCCCACGCCTTTCATACAGCCTTCGAGGTCCCATTTTTGGGATGAGTTTGACTTAATCATAGAAGGTATCCACTTTCTCCATGTGCCTAATACAACTAACCAGATGTCTGTTTCTGTGACGTGCTATAGCTGATCACTGAATTTGTGCAGAGATTGCAAAAATGCTTTTGAAATCTGAAAAGTTTCGCACGTAGCCATCTGACCAGCAGCCTCGGCCTGTCTCTCCCAGCATGGAAGCGGGCGAGGCTGGGTGGCAATGGGTCCGGCACTGGAGAGCCAGTTTCGAAAGGCAGGGCTGCCTCGTTAGTCAGATGGGTCTGGAGTGTGTGCAGCGATGCTCCTCACCACTGCAGTGCTTTCCCAGTGAGCCTGCCGAACTGCAGCTGAAAGTTATTACCGGATGAGTAGAAAAGTAAGTTCTTATCAAGATGGCATATTAACGGCATGGCCCAGTGGCAAATAAAAAGCTGTCGACATCCTTTTTATGCAGGTGCCTGTCGATGGGGTCCAGGAGCCGCAGGGGGGTGCGGAGATTGTTTGTCGAAGGAGCTGCTGTAAAACTCTACCAGCAAAGAAAGTAACCTTAACAGAATAACCTCTAGGGATTTGGGAAACTTTTTGTGAAAAATGAGCACTGTTTGAAGGAGACAAATAGACTAGCATTAGTAATAAATAACATTAAAAAATGACCTTAAAAGAATGCTAAGTGCTTGAAAGTCAGGAAATGCCAGGACTAGTTTGTGAGAGCCATTGTAGTGCAGCCCGTTTCTAAAATAGTACGGTATCTTGTGCATCGTTTACAACCTTCACTACAAATGAATAATATCTTTTTGCTTGCTATTAATACTTAGTTTTCAGAGATGACTGAAGATATGGACGGTTACGCAGCACAGGAAATATGATCGGGGCTTCTACTCCTCTAGCTGCAAGCTGTCTTTTGCATAGCTATATGAAAATAAATTGCCATATTGTATGTATCACAGTTGTACTATTGAAGCCAATGTCCTCATCAAAAGCATGCTGAGATGTCTTGGGTACTGAGGGATTGTGGCTGCCTCCAGCCCCTGCATGCTGCATCCCTCCCTCATACCTAGGGTTTCATCCAGCTGTTGCATGTAAGGGTTTCAGGTGGCCCCACCACGTTACAGGTTCCAAATACAGTAACAGACACCAGATCAGCAGCTTTAGGGATAAACAATTTATCTCTAAATAATACTGCGGTCACAAATACGGATCAGGAGTATGATTATCTGGGTTGTTACACCAAGAAAAGCAGTAACTCGGTAGCACAGTTATCCAGGTCGAAATGACAGCAAATCCAGTAATTCACCAATACTGAGCTAAACTTAACATCTGAGCATGCAGAGACCTCCAAAACCATGGTCATAACCATGACTGTCAGGCATGGCTTCCTCAGACAAGCGACTCAGACCAGCCAGCAGGCTCGGGGAATTCCAAGTGCCTTGACTGGGGTGTCCTCTTGTTGAGACATGGACTATATGGACTTGTTAATCAACCATCACATCCCACTTCTGGCCTCCCTCTGCCAGTTCTTTGGGGCTTACGGGGCCCAGAAATACTGTAGAAGGTAGTACTGGCCCAGGTGCCCCCTGATTGGTCGTTACTCAGTTGAGGAAACAATGGTTACCATGGACCTGTTTAGTTTGGTTCCAAAGACAGTCTCCCATGCAGTCTTTGGTGACCAGCCATGGACCTGTTTGGTTTGGTTCCGAAAACAGTCTCCCATGCAGTCTTTGGTGACCAGCCATGGACCTGTTTAGTTTGGTTCCGAAGACAGTCTCCCATGCAGTCTTTGGTGACCAGCCTTCCACCAGCTTGAAGGATCTTTGGTGTCTTCTTTGGTGTCTTTTGAACGTCGTCAGAACAATGTGTATGTTCTTCAGAAGGGCAGAGTGAAGGATGTCTTCGTCCTGCTAGAAGCAATGGCCTCTCGCTGGTGGAAGAGTATCTTCTGAGGGCTGGGCTATTTGAGTCACACCTCTGGCAAGCAGCTAGCCGGTTGAAGTTTTTATCTGTCTACCTTTCTGTATGCAAGGCAACTGATGCTTGAATTAACCCGTGCTGATCATGTAAACAAAATCGGGATGCAAAAGGTGTGCGTAGAAATTCATAAAGTGTTTGGGTTCTCTTCCTTATCCTCCGCATCCCTTTGTACGTTTTTCTGGGACTGGATTAGGAGTACATCAGGATCATTTCTTGTTTCCAGACGTTCGTGCTGTTGGACAAAAAGACTGTATCACTTAAGCGCTTTTAGAGGTCTTGGCTGTTGTCTAAATGCCCTGCAGATATGGTGATAGGTAGCATAATCTACCACTTTTTTTCCAACATAAGCACTTCTCTAGCAAAATGTAGTTGTCCAGGCAGGTGTTTAAAAGCAAGGTTAGCGGAGCAGCAAACCCTGAGGGTTCAAGTTCTTCCAGAACCTTTGAAGAGGGACGAGATCTTTATACATTCGTTACTTTTAAAGAGAATTAGCGTGCAGAATTTTATTATTATGAAATAGTGAGAACCCCACGCCTTTCATACAGCCTTCGAGGTCCCATTTTTGGGATGAGTTTGACTTAATCATAGAAGGTATCCACTTTCTCCATGTGCCTAATACAACTAACCAGATGTCTGTTTCTGTGACGTGCTATAGCTGATCACTGAATTTGTGCAGAGATTGCAAAAATGCTTTTGAAATCTGAAAAGTTTCGCACGTAGCCATCTGACCAGCAGCCTCGGCCTGTCTCTCCCAGCATGGAAGCGGGCGAGGCTGGGTGGCAATGGGTCCGGCACTGGAGAGCCAGTTTCGAAAGGCAGGGCTGCCTCGTTAGTCAGATGGGTCTGGAGTGTGTGCAGCGATGCTCCTCACCACTGCAGTGCTTTCCCAGTGAGCCTGCCGAACTGCAGCTGAAAGTTATTACCGGATGAGTAGAAAAGTAAGTTCTTATCAAGATGGCATATTAACGGCATGGCCCAGTGGCAAATAAAAAGCTGTCGACATCCTTTTTATGCAGGTGCCTGTCGATGGGGTCCAGGAGCCGCAGGCGGCGGATGCGCAAGGGGG